GGAGATATTTTTAGGTTGTAGGTTTACTGGAACCAGTGTAGGTTACTTAGGTTCCTTGCCCTGCCTACTTGAATGGCCTTCATCTAATTTATTGAAAAAAGAGCAAAACATAATCCTGGTCTCCCTGAGCAAGAGGGAGCTCTTGAAAAGTTAATATTGGCATTGATTGCACTATCAACCCCCCTGCAACTCTGTGGCCTTCAGACAGGAACTGAACCATTAGTTCTCATGGGTACTTGGGGAGCCAAACCTGCAGACTCGGGCTTACCAGGCTCCAAACCTGAATAGCATTTATTCCATGAAGCACAAAATTAAAAACATGAATTGTGCCTTATATTTTATGCTAGACGTTATATTTTCTCAGATATTGTTATGTGTTTATATTCTTTATGAAGATTTTAATTATTAATCTGAAAATTTCATGCATATATATAGTACATCTTTTTAAAAATTGTATTTGTTAATTTAATGTGTATGAGTGTTTTGCCTTTGTGTATTTAAGTGTACCCATGTCTTGCAATGCCCTTGGAAGCCAGAAGAGGGTATCAGATCCCTGGAACTGGGGTTATTGTTATTAGTCAGCATGTGGGTGTTGGGACTCAGACCCTGGTCCTCTGGAAGAGTAACCAGTGCCCTTAACTGCTGAGCCATCCCTCCAGCCCTACAATGCATTTTGATCACATCCAACACCCTATTCCACCTTCCTACTCCCCCAGATCTTGCCTAATACATGTCCCTCCCAAGTTAGTGTCATTTTATGCTTTTTTCTGTTTGAGATAAGGTCTCCCTCTATCCCCAGCTGGCCTGGAAATCATCATGTAGACCAGATTAACTTTTATCTCACAAAGATCCACCTGCCTCTGCCTCCTGAGATCTAAGATTAAAGAGATGAGCCACCAAGTCTTAATTTTATTTTATTTTTTAGCATTTTTATTGAATTTTTTTATTACCAGATAATATAATTTGATGACATTTATATCCCCTCTCCCATCCACTCCTCCCTACACTGCCCCCCCCACTTAATTCAATGTGCTCTCTCTGGGTAATAAAGCTTATGGTATCTAACTTTAATCCCTAAATGTTCTCCAGCGTGGGCTCATCCACTCAAGCTTGCATAGGACTTTTGCATGCTGTCACCATCGCTGTGAGTTCATGTGAGTAACTGGTCAGCTGTATGGAGAACTCTGCCCCTGCCTTCCATGGTCATCCACCACCTCTGGCTCTTACAATCTTTCTACCTCCTCCTTTTCAATGATTCCCAAGTCCTGAGCTCCAGAAGCCTAACAGAGGTATCCCACCCAGCAGCCCTTTCCTCCCCACACATTAGAAAGCCACAAGTTTCTCTGTCAGTCACCATCTGCTATGTAAGGAAACTTCTCCAATGAGAGTTGAAAGATGCATTAATCTTCAACAGTGGGTGAGCACCTGACCCAGCACCGTTCATTCCAATCATCCCTCCTGGGACTGGGAGTCCATATTATTATGAGGGTACCACAGTTACCTCTCACAGGAAGGATCCATGACTCCAGCTCATAGGAGGGATCACAGGTCCAGCCCACAGGAGGGCACCACATCTCCAGCTCACAGGAGGAGACCATAGCTCTCGATCACAGGCAGGGAATCACAGCTCCAGCTCACAAAGGAGGACTACAGTTCCAGCTATCAAGGGGACCACAGCTCCAGCCCATAGGAAGGATCCATGACTCCAGCTCATAGGACGGATCACAGCTCCAGTCGACAGAGAGGACCACAGCTCTAGCTCACAGGAAGAAGCACAGCATCAGCTCACCAGAGGACCAGAGCTCAAGTTCATGGGAAGGGACCATGACTTCAGGTCACAGGAAGGGACCGCAGTTCTAGTTCTCTTTCTTTCCTTAAGTTCTCAGGCTCTTGGGCTCTCAGTGTTTCTCGGTGCATGTAGATAAGTACACTCATGTCCTGCAATACTCACAGTGGTCAGAAGAGGATGCCGGATGCCCCGGAATATAACTGCTTCATTTGATTGGCCCAAAACCTTGCTCCTTTGGTTAAAATCTTTCTAATACAATTCTCTGTATAGAAGGGACGGGCCTAAGATAGCTGGGTACCTGGGTTCCGCTCCTTCCCATTTGGCAGATCCCCACTCATTTCCTGGCTGCTGGCTGCTGAGCAGATCACTGGGGAAGCCTATGAAGGCCCCTGAGTCACTCAAGTCGGTCCAGCGCGAGCAGTAGCAGCAATCACCGCTGCCATTATCATACAGATGGCTGTAGACTTGTGAGATCTTTGAGGAACCATGCTATAAATGCACAAGGGCAAAGTCCTCTTCAATACTCTCCTCTGACAACCTTCCATCTTTGGCAACTAGGCTTTCTCAATCAACCTTAGCTTCAACTTTGCCGTGATCAGATTGGATTCTTGTAGGAACTCTGACTTGAGTCTCCCTTGGTCCACAGCAGCAGTTGAATGCTTGTGCATTTCGGTCAGCTGGGCCTGGAGCAGACGGGCTCCCTGCCAGGGGGCCTTCTCCTTCAAGTGCTGCTCTAGCTTCAGTTCCCCGAAGGGGGAGTTCAGTTTTGTCATCTTTGTCAATGAGCCTTGTGGTTGATAGATGCTTCAAGACCTCAGAAGGCCCACTCCTGCCGGCACTAAGGCAGCAACACTCCATCTCCATCTCCATCTCCAGACACGTGCCTACCTTCCTGGCAGCCTGGCAGGAACCCCTGCGCCTCTTCAGACGGGTAGCAGGAAGCAGGGCCAGTTTCGTGTCCTTTTAAAAATTTTATAATCTACTGAGTCCAGGTACTACTAGGCCTATATGTGTACGGATGTGGTGATGTCCAGTGGACATGAGCAGCATGCTAGTGACTGCCACCTCCCAAGGAAAGATGATGCTACGTTCCCTAGCAACCATCAGCTACTAATAACTTCTCAACAAGGAGTGGCAGGGGTCTTTGAACCCTTCCTTCACCCATGGTGTAATGATTGCTGGTGTGGCCTTGTGCAGGCGATGATAGCTGTTGAATGTTCATGTGTACCGCACCCCTTTCAGGTCCAGAAGACAATGTTTTGGGGCAGTATACCTGGTCCTCTGGCTTACAGTCTCTCACTTCCTCTTCCATGTTGTTCTCTGTGCCTCCTGTAGAGATGTTCTGTTAGAGGTGCACCATTCAGGAATGGGTGCTCCAGTGATCTGTTCTCTGCATTTGACCAGTTGTGATGTTCTACAGTGACCTCTATCTGCTGCCAAAAGAAGCTTCTCTGATGAGGGGTGAGAGCAGGATTAATCTATAGGTATAGGTGTAAGGCTAACTGTTTAGAAGACAGTTGGATCACTGATTTAGACGTGTAATTTCTATGAGTGTAGTATTTCTCAAATATATATATGAATTATTCTACAAATTTCAGATTTAATATGTTTATGAAACTTAGTTGTATTTCAGTGATGAGCTACTTGCCATTAATTTGGCATAATTCTTAGAAAAAATTAGCACAATGTTTGATGTGTTTTAGCTCATAAAAGGAATTCCAGGAAGTAA